TAAAGAATAAAGCAGCACGACGATGAACATCAAGAACGATCTCTTCCGCATTGAAAATTGACATTTCAGAAGGGGCAACACGATGCAAGGGTGGATCCTGTTCTCTTAAAATCAAAGAAGGGATAACTACATGATATTTATAAATATTTTCAACCGCCTCCATAGCTTGACTAGTCACTTCAGCAACCCCCAAAACATCCGAGTGTTGACTAACTCTGCTTCTTTGTAGTGAAATCTCTGTACCTTTTCTTATCGCAGTGGCCAACTCTAAGGCAGACGGTCCATAAATAGATTCTTCACTATATGTTGGGTTAACAACAATGACGACATCTTCCCCAAGAAATCCCTTGCTGTCTTTTATTTATTAAAAAAATAATAATAAATAATGGTAATTTGCAATACAAAAAAAAATAATAATAAATAAATAAATATATATATATATATATATATATATATAGGAAAGTTCAATTTAAATACCAGTTACCTATATAGGTTATGAACTGCTAGGTACTCCAGTAAAAAATTGATCAAGAGAAGTGGCAACACATTCCTGTACTGAATCAAGTCTCACTTTGTCGGTGACATGCTTCCAGTTACGATCCTCATCATAAGCTTTCATATCCTCCTCTAACTCCATTGACAACTGACGACGGCGACGGTTATTGATTAGTGGTGGGACATCTTCTGCTGTTTGGTGATGGCTACTAGATCCTCCAACAACGTCACAATCATTATGAGATTTGATGGTTAACTTTGGCACTGGCTTAGATGGGAGATTTGACTTCAGCCCCTTAATTAAAACCTTCCTGATTTTAGTTGGTTTCTCTGGTGGGGAAATCGTACGTTTAGATTGCTTTGAGGTAGTTTCTTTCTGTGTAAATGGATCAATATATACGCTGGACCACCATTTGGCATATGCTCTGGTAACTGAGCATTTTTGGTGGCTGAAGGTTGAATGAAGCAACGCATCACAACCAGAAGAATAATGAACGGATGAGTTCCAATGCTTTAAAAATTCCTCTAAGGTGCAAGTACGAAAGTCATTTTTAATTTTCCAGGAATATCTTGATGGTACCCAAATTGTCGGCTAAATCTGTGTGGACTATACGGCTCAATGATAAAACAGTCATTTTGGCGCAATGTCAAATAACATGATCGAAGATTGATTAGGGTGTCAAAGTCAACCTTTTTCATCTCGCCATTATCTACAATAAGTCGCTCTTTTGAAGATCTTTTAGCCATTCGAGTTAAGTTTATTCCTTTACATGATCTGAATAAATTTTGGGCTTCAAAATGGTCAAAGTATCTTGCTCCTCCTTCGCCTGCATATAATGTCATTCTAGGCCAATAGTTGGTATTAGGAATGGTGAAATTAGTTCTGAAATATTCACTCAACCATCCGAATACATAGTGAATAGGAAATATCGCAGAGCAGCTTCCAGGATCTTGTGAGGAAACAATCTCGTTCAAGCCTCTGTAAATACTGGCCAGAACCGGGATGGAAAGACAAATATTGTAGCCATCTGCTAACATGCTTGCGACCTTGAAAGTCCCATGACGAATTATGTTGCCAGGGTGTGCAGGTAAGGCAAATTTGCAGAGCCAATAGGCTAAAAAAGCAGCTAGATAAGTGGTGTCTCTCGATGTTTCATCTACACCAAGGTTAATAAATACTTCTTTCTCTTTGGTGGACATCGACCGGACAGGAGGGATCACACCAGACGGATTTTGAGTCCTCATAGGGCGGTGAACTTTATTTTTTGTTGATTTCTTTGAAGGTTTGGCATGTCTTGATGCACCTTTAAACCAGAAATTAATCCAGTCAGATATCTTCACATTCTGATCTCCTTTATACTTCTTGGAAAGTCTGTGGAAGGCCAAAAATAGGTGTTGACAACTCAAAGGGATAGAATTTTTGTTGTTGCCAACTCTTGATAATTCATCTGCACAAGGAATAATTTCATCATAAATTGTTCCTTGCTGAGGGAGACCACCTAGCATATATAGATCTCGAAGAGAAATTGATAGCTCACCAATAGAACAATGAAGTGTATTAGTGGCTGGGCACCAACATTCAAGGAATGCTTTGAATACATCTTCATGATGATCATAGGAAAATAGGGAGGCGAATAAAGCACCATATAGTTGTTGTTTTGATAGAAAGTCATGGAAACGCGCCAAGACATCTTCTAACCACTCCCAATATAGTTCGGTGTATAGCAATTCAGCAGGAAGTTTATAGGGAATACTCCATGATATTTCCTTCGCCTGAACATTAAGACCCAATAGTGAAAACTGGTTTTCTTCAACAACTCTCTCATGAAGTGAAGAATTTAGTATCAAGGCTTTAGAGACAATAGATTCTTCATTAATCTGATCAGGACCAAAGTCGGTGAGTTCACATGTGGCCGTGCATGTCCAATGAGATGAACAATGTTTATTATTAGAATCAGGCACTTGAATAGCATTGCGACCAAAAAGTGAGTCATATACACTTAATGTCGTTCCTTGGACTCGTTGACTATTTTCGCTCTCTAAGATAGTCAGCTTTTGCATTGCGAAACACTTGAACACCACTATGATGGATACCAAAGCTCGATCGATGTTGTTTAGAAAGAGGATTTCAATTTCTGTTATGGCTGACAAAACCAATTTGCTATACCTTCTCAAGTCCTTCAAAAAAAAAAAAAAAAAAAAAAAAAAAAATAGAAAAGAAAAAGAAGAAGTTAAAAAGCGTGAAAAAAATCTATAGTGAAAAAAAAAAAACAGAAGTTAGAAAGCGTAAAAAAAAAAAAAAAAGTTAGAAAGCGTGAAAAAAAATCCTATAGTGAAGTGTGAAAAAAAAAAAAAAAAAAAAGGGAAAGAAAAAAATATATAGCATGAAAAAGAAAAGGAGGGAAAAAAAAAGAAAAAATAAAAATAAAAAAAAAAACCGTGGGAAAAAAAAAGGAGGAAAGAAAAAAAAAAAAAAAAAAAGGAAAGGAAAGAAAAGGAAATTTAAAAAAAAAAAAAAATTGATTCCTCCAACAACAACAGGCAACGTGGAGGAGAGAAAAAAAAAAATTGCAAATCTCAATCCTCCAGGAAATGTGGAGGAGGAGGAGGAGGAAAAAAAAAAAAAAAAATTGCAAATCTCAATCCTCCAGGAAACGTGGAGGAGGAGAAAAAAAAAAAAGAAGAAGAAGAAGAAGAAGAAGAAGAACATTCATACCTATGTGTTCAAGCAGATGCCGCAATCCAACACAATCTTCAGAGGCCGCAATCTTACAAGTTCTTCAGAACTGATTGAAATTGATGTCAAACCCTATGACTTGGGTGGTATATATAGGCAAGGGATTTGTATAAATTGGAAAGTAAAAATCCAATAAAAAAAAGTTGGATACTTCAAGTCCCACTTGAAAAAGGAGACAAGTCCTGTTAAGCGTAGAACTCGAAGTGGGGGCAATTTGTAGACACTAAAATTTTAGTGGACTTTAATTTGGACAAATGGACCCATTAAATATGGGCCCAATGTTTAATTAAGTTATTTAATTGGCCCAAGTATGGTCCACTTAAATTATTTAATTAAGCCCAGTCTAGAGTCTAGATGGTCAAATAAAAAGAATAATCATTCCTAATAAAATATATTTGGAATAATTATTTTTAAGGATAATTATCATAATATATCCGGCCCGACCCAATTATAGTTTTTTCCTTATCAGGAGATGACACGTGTCATCATCCTATTAATCCAAGAAGCCTATAAATAGAGGCTTGGAGGAAGAAAAAGGATGATTCAGAATTCAGAAGTTTACAAATTCAGACACAAATTCAGAATTCAGAAGTCCAGAGACTCAGAAATCCAGAGACTCAGAATTCAGATACAAATTCAGAATTGAAACCCAAAAGCGAAGAACATCAAGCACATCCAACAACGTGCCGTTCTTCATCAAATTCTACAGTGATTCAAGAATAAGCTCGTGCAGCCCTTGGATCCAACCAACCAAAAACAAGGAGATCGAATCAGAGGACCATTCTTTTTTTTTTTGTAAAAGATATTACAAAGGACTATACTCCACATTCATAAATTAATAAAATTGTATTTGCTCCATATTTTGTTTCTATTGCAGACTTACAAAATTTGTGTATACAGAATGATAATAACCATTTTTAGTGTTTTGACCAATTTATAAATTTAAAATTGAATTCTTCAAAATATTCCTTAATAATAAATAAATTAAATTAACAAAATGATATTCTTTTATAATTTTTTCTTTTAAAAAAATGGGAGCAGTGGCAGTGGTGGAAAACAGTAGTTGTGTAGGCGATGATGTTGAAAAGCGGCGGCGGTAGTGACAGTAGAAGGTGGTGGCAGTGGTGGAAGTCGATGGTAATAGTGATGGTGAAAAACGGAAGTGGTTGTTGTGAAAGATAATGGTAGTTTTTGGACTTAAAATGTGAGAATTTTTTGAAAAGTTAAATTTTTAAAAAAATTTACTTAGAATAGAATGATCATTACATAGGTAGTAGAATCAATTTTCATTCTCATAAATAAATTTTAATTTTAATAAAATGACTATTCTCAATTTAAATTGCATACCAAATAAAAAAAAAATAATTAGAATAGACAATTCATTCCATTTATACACACCAAAACAACATTATATATTGCTTAAGTAACACACACCTCCTAACTAATTTTATCATAATTTTAACATATAAGACTAACATTCTCTCTAATTTTGATTTAAATAGCACTGACCTAATGTAAAATCTACCCTCTTGTCTTAATTTAATTCTCAAAATTTACTTAAAATCCAATAATACCCTTAAAAAGCTTAAAAATACTATTTTATTTATACGTTAAACTAATAAAAATACAACTGTTATAATAATCATTCCCCGCATTGAATAAAGATATCAGGAGGGGTCCGTGCTACTATGTAGACAATCCTGAAAATGTAATTACCCTTTAGTTTATAACTTTATATATATAATCCGTATATAATAGTTCACTGAACTAAAGGGCATAATGAGTAGTATATTGAAGGAAATAGGGAAAATAAAAAAAAAAAAAAAAAATTCCACCATCACGTGTAAATTAAATGACAATATTACCCCCATCTCTCATCCCATTTTACACAATCACATCCCTCCCTCCATCAACTCTCTCCAGCTCCAACCCTCTACGCAGAGGAGGAACCTCTACGAGAAATCTGTAAGCAAACAAATATCTCTCTCCAGCTTCATTTCTTCAAACTTTGAGAATCTTCGAAGCTCTAACCACCGGATTTTCGCGCGCAATCGCCTCCCGACCGTAGGTTTTGTAATCGAAGCTACAGTCGTGCCGATCCGTGTACCGATGCTCCGAGCAGAACAGCTCGCCGCACCGGCATCGAAACCCGGTCAACCCCACCTTCCTCCGACAACCAACACACCGATTCACCTCTCGCCTCTTCGGTCGATCCTCCTCCTCCACCGCCGCCAGCGGTGACGCACGCAGATCCGATTTATCCGGCGACCTCGCCGAACTCGATCTCGGAGCGACGGTGCGACGTTCCTTCGGATGCGTAGGGATCAGCTCGTCCGCAGGTGAATCCAAGCTGTCCGGCGGCGTGGCAGATCTGGACGTCGAGTCGTCGTTGCCGGATAGTTTGGGAGGCGTTGGGATCGGAGTGGTGCAGAGGGTTAAAGTTTCGGAGACCTTGAGCTCCGTCTCTTTGTTCTCTCTCTGCTGAGCCATGAGAGAGAGAGAGAGAGAGAGAGAGTATGAAATGGTAGAAGACTAGAGAGGGAGAGATTACAGAGAGAGAGAGAGAGAGAGAGAAAGTAGATAGACAGATGGAGAGAGAGGGGGTTGTTTTTTAAGGTGTTGAAAGGTCGGGTAATGGTGATGGAATATGGGGCCTCATAGGAACGCGCATCGGAGTTGGAAGTGTAATGACGATAATACCATCATGACTTTTTTGTTATTACCGTGGTGTGGTCGGATAATGGGGGTTTAGATCAGCCCTGACGTGTTCTCAGAATATGATAAATGCTTTTCGTTTGGGCGGACTTGGCTCAACTCAAATTACGCGGACGGCGGACCATAACATTGGACCAAATTTTGCATCGAACATCATTTTTGACCCTTTTAATATATATATATATATATATATATATATTTTGGTCCAATTATAGAAAACACTTTTATAATGCGTATCACACTTTTTATGTATAAAAAACATCCCTAAATAAGATCATGTGCAAAAAACACCTTAAAATTTTAATTTGATACAAATAATTTACTCATAACTCTTTTAAGTTATAATTTGACTAAATTACTCTTATATACACATTTTACATCTTATTTAAAAATGAATCATTTTATAAAATGGTGAAAATGGTCATTTAATATACGAGGGGTATGAAATGTACTATACGCATATTATAGGGGCTTTTAATGCTAAATAGTATGATGACGGCAAGAAGTGTTAGAAGTTAAATTAATAGATATATAGAATCGAAGTCTAATATTCCAAACTCTATCGAAAACACTAACCCACCGGGTTATATAAGCCTTTGCTACGTCAGGTGATTGAACACTCATTTGTTGTTGTTGTTTTTTTTTTAAAATATCTATTTGTGAAAATTTATTGCAAATTCTAAAGATTAAAAATTAAATTTATATTGTTTATATATAATGAATAAGTATTTTTAATTTAATTTTATAATTATATATTTAATGAAATTGATAATTATATTAAACTTTAATTAGGAATATTTTTTCTATTTTTTATTATTATGAAATGAACTGAAGTTTTCATTCCATATGATATATTGTACATTAATCTGACAATTATGACAACAATTTTTTTATTTTTTTGTGAAAAAGTGAAAGAAAATCCTTAAAAGTGGGTTAAATATAGTTAATGCGCACATAATACCCATATACTATGAGATTATTAACATATACACCACTTTGAACATTTTTAGAAGAGTAAATAGGCAAAACGGGTATTACAACATTGCTTTATGCCAGATTTCTGAATGAGGAGTGTTTTCACACAATTTTAAAAAAATAAAGGTATTTTTAGCACACTTTCTCAAATAGGGGTGAAAGTGCTTAACAAAATATACATTATGGATGTTTTCTGTACTTGACCCATATCTATGCTATTATTAAAAGGAGAAGGGGTTAGATAATTTCAAATCATTAATTTATAATTAACTTAATAAAATAATTTAAATAAAATATCAATAAGCAAAATTTCAACTAAAATAAAATACTAAAATACCAATAAACAAAGTCTAACAAAAAGTGTTTCTATAAATTCAAACACAAATGATCTAATTATTATGATTTTTTTTTAAATTAATATTATTTAAATATAATAAATAATAATGCAAAATTACACTTATGCACATTCTTTCGTTCACGGACGTATGTTTTACTAGTATATATATACATGTACGGGTAAATATTTTGATCATTTTTATGACTCAATCTATTTTATTTTTAATTTTTGATGGAGAAATTTTTGGTTGCGCCTATTGTACCGTGCAAACGGGTATAACCAAATTTTTCTTTTTGTCGCACCTTTTAGAGACTCTCACAATTCACTACCGAACTAATACAGTCCCCAATATTGTGTGACAATTATTCAAAAAAATTCTTAGAGGGTACGCGTTCTATTGTTCTGGTATGAAGTTGATGATATTATTGGCTTTGTATGATTGTTGTCTTTGCTCTTCTTTTCAAATTTAGTTATTTATTTATTTTATTTTATTTTTGGTATTTAACTCTTATCACATAATAGCTTAATTACTAATTTAAAAAGGACAATGCTTAGCTATTTACTAGTGAGTAGCTTCAACCTATTCGCCTCTTATGTATCCAATAACAATATAATACGTACTCATTAATAACAAAGTTAGCAAAATAATAAAAAAGAAAAAAAAATCGGATCGACCCGTTTTAATTGGGTAACTCTTTTCTCTCTCCTCTTTCATCGATTGGGCAACTCTTTTCTCTCTCAACTTTCAAAAAAAAAAAAAACTATTTTCTCTCTCCACCGTTCTTCTTTTTCATCGCCCTTTCTCTTTTATTTCTCTTTTTCATCCCTTCCAAAACCAACGTCCTCCTCTCTCGCCACTCTTCTTCTTTTTCTCACCTGTATGAGACATCATCAATCAATGAGCAAACATGTTTGATTCGTGTTTGGGTTATTATTTCTTTTTCCTCTCGTGCTCCATTGAACATCATCACTCAATAAGCAAGCAAGAATTGTGGGTTCTACTAAGTCTTGTAGTGTAGGTATGATTTAATTCTTTGTTTTGCACATTTATGATTTATTTTTTAGAAAGGGGCTTTCAATCATTATTCAATAAATATTCCTAAATTTTTCACTTTCTTCATTTTCTTTTTTTTTTTTTTTTTGGGTTTTTAATTTCTGTTCTTAATGCCCAGATTGAGTTTTGTAAGGCATGCCCTTGCGGCTTTCTGTACTATAATGTTCATATCAATATATTTAATTTCTACTTTACCTAAGGAAAAAAAAAAAAAAAGAATTTTCTTTGAATTCAAGTACGGACAATGCTAGTTGCCATTCATCTTATAAAACCACAAGAGCATTGTATTTTTATTGAGTCCTAAAATTTTTGTGAATATTGAGTACAACGTACATAGCAAAGGAGGGGTTTCTGAATATTGAGTCCTAAAATTTTTGTGATCTTATCAATGCTCTGACAAATTGGTTATATGGAAACTCCACCTCCTTTAGACATATGGTTCTGGGAATCATAGTATAATACAATTCAGAGGTACCCATTGTTAGAAAATTTAAATTTTTAAGTCACACTCGATTTAATAGTTTAGACTTGTACAGTAATAGAATATAACATGGACAATATCCAATTTATCAAAAAATAAGTAAAAACATGGTCAATATCCATTGTCCTTAGGAGAAAATGATACAGTGAGGTATACCGGTATGTTAAAAAAAATAATAAAAATGAGTAACCATCTTTAAGCTCAAACAAAATACCGGTGCCAATAATCTTTTTTCGGAGTGCTACTTTTAATTGAAAAAACAAAAATAACACATATCTTTACAAGGAAGAGGAATGTCTCGATTTCAAGAGTTTTGGAAGGGATGAAAAAGAGAAATAAAAGAAAAAGGGTGAAGAAGAAAAAGAACGGTGGAGAGAGAAAAGAGTTTTTTTTTTTTTTGGAAGTTTAGAGAGAAAAGAGTTACCCAATCGATGAAAGAGGAGAGAGAAAAGAGTTACCCAATTAAAACGGGTCGATCTTATTTTTTTTTCTTCTTTTTTTTATTATTTTGCTAATTTTGTTATTAAAGAGTACATGTTATATTGTTATTGGATGCATAAGAAGTGAGTAAGTTAAAACTACTCACCAATAAAACTACTCACCAATGAATAATTAAGTATTATCTATTTAAAAATTACATTTAGCTTTCTAAAATTAGTACTTTCACTGCTTTGTGAGAATTGATTATTTAAATAAAAGAATAATTCCATAAAATAGAATTTTTTGGGGTCAAAGGACAAAACTAGTCAAAATTAAATTTTCCAAAATAATAAAATTTTAACAAAGTCTGACAGAAAATAGAAAACTACAGTATATTATCTGATTTTTTTAAAAATGTCTTCCTATTGTTGTTGTGAAATTATGGTACTACCCCTCTCACGTGTGGAGAGTGAGAAAATTGAGCCAGGTCTCTATGCAAGAGCCATTGCTCTCTCTCCTCGAAGGGTCTTCTTCCCAAACGAAGCTTCAAAGAAAGAATCCGGCGATGCTGTAGGGCCCATTTGGACGCAACAGAAAGAGGAGAAAGCAACGAGGGAGTCGCCAGCGGGTTCTAAATTGCCCCATTTTTTTCTCTGTTATTATTCGCAACACTTTGCAGCTAGAGCTTAATTCACTGTAGCATCCCCTATTCTCTTCTGGAATTATCCCTTATATGAATATAACCCCTTTCTTGCTCTATCATACCATACCATACCATACTCTCTCCATCTCTCATGGCTTCTTCTACTATTGCTACTACTACCGAGGTCGCTGAGAATGGGTCATTCAAGGCCCCAGAATCTGATCAACGAATGGAGACAACTGACGCCGCCACTGTAACTGCCACGGCCACCGATTCCGAGCCAGTAGGAGATGATCATCCTCTGTCCGGATCAGCACCGGAAGAAACAATGCCCATTCCGGCAACAGCTTCAGCCGACGAAGGAGTAAAAAAGTGGCCGGGATGGCCCGGGGACTACGTGTTTCGCCTCATTGTCCCTGTCCTCAAGGTCAGTGGCATAATCGGCTGCAATGGTGAAGTCATCAAGGAAATGTCCGAGGAGACTGGCGCTCGCATACGCGTCCTTGATGCCCCCAATGGAACTTCTGATCGCATTGTGCTGAAAATTGAATTACTCACGTGCAAGGTTTAAAGTAACAAAACAGTCTATATTTAGAAGGAGAGTCCCATAATGTCAGAGTTTTTCTCCCTCTACCTATGAGAGAGGGGCAGAGGGCAATTTGGAAAAAAAAAAAATAATAATACACAGTAGATTTCCATGTCCACGTAAGAGTTTTATAAAATTTTATTAATTTGTAAAACTTGATTTTGACTTCATTATTTTGTCTTTAACCCACCAAATTCCATTTTTTTTTTTGAAATTATCCCTTAAATAAATGGTCAACAAAGTCAAATAATAGAGGGAATTAGATTCCAAAGTGTCATATTTGTCAATGCATTTCTAATTTAACTCTATTTTTCAACTAAAATGGATGGAAAAAGAAAGAAAAAACTAGAATGGTAGAATAACAATTGAGGGAAAAAATAAGAAGGTAATACCACTATTTAATATCATCTAATGAGAAGTAGATATTGATATAATTATGAAATGTAATGAGAATGTATAAAGAAAGAAAATAAAGCAATATTGATATAATTATGAAATATTTTCAAAAAGTGAGTTTAACTTTCTCCAATTTCTCTGTACTTTTTTTCTCTGCAAAAGTCATTAATCATTATCGGGTCTCATTTATAGAATATATGGATTAAGAAAATAATTTAGGAGAAAAAAATAAAAAACATATATAGAATTTTATGAGAGAAGAAAAAAATTCAAAGGAAGCACTTTTCATAATTTTATAAAAATATATGTTACGTATAGGCACGTGCCCCCGGGCTTAACTCCCTCCATCCTGACCATCATATATATATATATCTATATGTGTGTGTGTATAATTTTATTTATTTATGTATCATGACCATTAAGGAATAATATACACATATATGCTAGCAAGCAAAGTTTTGATTGTTTTAAGGTTAACCAACCATGTAGAGGATCATAACACAGGTGCAATTAGAGATATTATATTTATTAATAGTCAAACATATCAACACAACATGAGAAGAATCAAAAGAATCACACAGCCGACATCCTAAAAACACGCTAATCCAAACAAGTCAAGCCGTCTAGGACCTTCATGACTATCTATTTTTGTTCAAAGACATTCATGACTATTTATTTTTGTTGGTGGTTTTGAGTCTGACCTTCTAAGTCTTAGGTCAAAGTTTCAAAATGGGTAGACAGAAAATGAAAGAAATTATGTATATTAACATTCCAATAATACTATATATTTATATTGTAATGACTCGAGCTTTAAATTGTTCAAACTCGATTAATTAATTTAAAATCATGAAGGATTATTGAGTTGTAACTTGACTTGTTACAAAATTCAAAATTGACTCATTTAAGAAAAAGGAGTAGTTGAGCTCGGTTAGTTGGTCTTATGTTTTTGTTAAAATTTTTTTGATGCTCGATTTGAACTCATGTTCATAATGTTATTAAAAGAAAATTTTACTAGTTTACAATATATATTAGCCCTTAAGATAAGTCTTGAAAAATTACATTGCATAATTTATTAAAAAAACAAAGGAGCATATATATATTTTTGTTTATTAAATTTGGCCGCATAACCCAAATCTATTAAGATTGACTCATTTATTAAACAAATTTAAAAGTTAAAATTTTCACGGGTCAAGATCCAATACCAAGCCCATTGGTTGAGCCGGGCTATTCCAGCACGAGCCGGGCTCGAGCTTTTGGTGAGACCTCCCGGAGCCCAACCAATCCCCACCTGCAAGTGCCCAAAATCAGCACTTCAGCACCTATACACAAATTCGTCGGACCCCCCCCCCCCCCTCTCTCTCTCTCACACACACACACACACAGCGACCCATGTGCTATAGTCTAGCCAAGCCGGATAACAGCCCAAAACCAAAATGGTAGTATGCCTACCTATCCTGCTATCTGGTAGTACTAGCATATAAATCAACACCTCAAATACTCAAAGACTCAAAACTAACCTGTACTTGTTTTCTCAACTGAAAAAATATCAGACCGCAAAACCTTGTGTGCATAACAAAAACCAAGCAAAAAAAATCCAGTAGAGCTTTCCAGGGAATGGCATACACAGGACCAGTGCTGACTGCTATTGCAACACCACCATTGCATTCCAACAGAAACCCAAAATCAAAATCAAAGGTACGCATAGACACCACCTCTTATTGCTCTTTGGATTGCTCACAATCATCTTCATCTTCAAATTCTACAGCCACTGAAGAAGAAAGTAATAGTAGTAGTGCCACAAAGAAATTTAGCTATAGCAGAGCCTCTCCATCTGTGAGATGGCCCCACCTAAAAATACACACAGACACACACCACCACCACTCACCTCACTTTCAATTCAATGTTGCCTCACCTCCACTGACCCGTATGGGTTCTTCACAAAATACCCAAGATTCTGAGGGTAAAGAGGATACCATGGAGTCTTTGGATGTGAATGATGAAACCCTAGAAGTGTTGGGTAGGCCTAGTAGGACTAGGGTGAAGAAAATGAACAAATTGGCATTAAAGAGGGCTAAAGATTGGAGGGAGAGAGTTCAATTAGTGACGGATAAGATTTTGGGATTGAAATCGGAGGAGTTTGTGGCCGATGTCTTGGATGATCGAATGGTGCAGATGACACCAACGGATTTTTGTTTCGTGGTGAAATGGGTTGGACAATCGAGTTGGAACCGAGCCCTAGAGGTTTATGAGTGGTTGAATCTCCGGCATTGGTATTCTCCGAATGCCCGGATGCTTGCAACAATACTGTCTGTGCTAGGTAAGGCCAATCAAGAGACCTTGGCAGTGGAACTTTTTACTCGGGCAGAGCCGGGGGTTGGTAATACTGTTCAAGTGTACAATGCCATGATGGGTGTTTATGCTCGAAATGGTCGGTTCAGTAAGGTTCAAGAACTGCTTGATTTGATGAGGGCGCGAGGGTGTGAACCTGACCTTGTGAGTTTCAATACTTTGATAAATGCACGCTTGAGATCGGGGGCAATGGTCCCGGACTTGGTAATTGAACTTCTAAATGAGGTGAGGAGGTCAGGTCTTCGACCTGATGCTATAACTTACAATACACTTATAAGTGCTTGTTCACGCGAATCCAATTTGGAGGAGGCTGTAAAGGTCTATGATGATATGGAGGCACATAAATGCCAACCTGATCTATGGACTTATAATGCCATGATCTCTGTTTATGGGAGATGTGGACTGGCTACCAAGGCTGAGCATCTCTTTAAGGAATTGGAGTCAAGAGGGTTTTTCCCAGATGCAGTTACATATAATTCTCTGCTCTATGCATTTGCAAGAGAAGGGAATGTTGTGAGGGTAAAGGGAATTTGTGAGGAAATGGTGAAAATGGGGTTCGGGAAGGATGAGATGACTTATAACACCACCATCCACATGTATGGGAAGAAGGGTCAGCATGACCTGGCACTGCAACTTTATCGAGACATGAAATCATCTAATCTTAGTCCTGATGTAGTTACATATACTGTTCTTATTGATTCGCTTGGAAAATCAAATAGGATTACTGAGGCTGCTAATTTGATGTCAGAGATGCTAGAAATGGGTGTCAAACCCACTTTACGGACATACAGTGCTTTGATTTGTGGGTATGCAAAGGCTGGAAAGCAAGTGGAGGCTGAGGAGACATTTGATTGCATGCTGAGGTCTGGAATAAAACCAGATCATCTAGCTTACTCACTGATGGTGGATATCCATTTGAGGTCAAATGAAACCAAGAAGGCAATGCAATTGTATCATAGAATGGTTTATGATGGTTTCACACCGGATCAGGCCCTTTATGAAGATATGCTTCTAGTGCTCGGAAGGGAGAATAGAGAGGAAGATATCCAAAAAGTGGTTAAGCACATGGAAGAATTATGTGATTTGAACCCGCAAGTTATTTCATCAATCCTTGTCAAGGGCGGATGTTATAGTCATGCGGATAAAATGTTGAGACTGGCTATTATGCAGGGCTACAATTTGGACCATGATAACTTATTATCTATCTTGAGTTCGTATAGTTCGTCGGGAAGGCACTTAGAAGCACAGGAATTACTAGAATTTTTGAAAGAACATGGACCCATATCCCATATATCAATAAGTGAAGCTCTGGTTGTTATTCTTTGCAAGGCTCATCAATTAGATGATGCTTTGGATGAATACAGTAAATCTAGGGGAATGAGTTCATTTGGTGGGAGCTTCGCCATGTATGAGTCCCTTATTAAGTGCTGTGAGCAGAGTGAACTGTTTGCTGAAGCTTCTCAGGTATTTTCTGACATGAGATTCAATGGAGTGGAGCCTTCTCAGCATCTTTACCAGAGTATGGTGCTTATGTATTGTAGAATGGGCTTCCCAGAGACGGCTCATTATTTGATTGATCAGGCAGAATCAAAGGATATTCTATTTGATGATACTTGCATTTATGTTACTCTTATTGAGACTTATGGCAAGTTGAAGCTAGTGCAGAAAGCAGAAAGTTTGGTTGGGACTCTTAGACAGAGATGTACTGTAGTGGATCGGAAGGCTTGGAATGCTTTACTACAGGCTTATGCTGCAAGCGGTTTCTATGAGAAAGCAAGAGCTGCTTTCAATACAATGATGAGAGATGGTCCTTCCCCAACTGTCGAATCCATAAATTGTCTCATGCAAGCTTTGATTGTTGATGAACGACTAAATGAGCTGTATGTGGCGATTCAGGAATTGCAAGACATGGGCTTTGAGATTAGCAAGAGTACCATTCTTTTGATGCTTGAGGCATTCGCACGAGTTGGGAATATTTTTGAGGTGAAGAAAATTTACCATGGAATGAAGGCTTCTGGCTTTTTACCTACCGTGCATCTTTACAGAGTTATGATATGCTTGTTGTGCAGGGGAAAACGAGTAAGGGATGTCGAAGCCATGGTTTCTGAGATGGAGGAAGCAGGATTCAAACCTGATCTTTCAATATGGAATTCTATGCTTAAATTATACACAGAAATCGAAGATTTTAAGAGGACAATTCAAGTGTACCAGAAGATTCAAGCAGCTGGACTTAAACCAGACGAGGACACTTACAATACTTTAATAATAATGTATTGTAGAGATCGCAGACCTGAGGAAGGTTTGTTACTGTTGCATGAAATGAAAAAGATAGGTTTGGACCCTAAGTTGGACACTTGCAAAAGCTTAATTGCTGCATTTGGTAAGCAGCAGCAGCTGGAACAAGCTGAGGAACTTTTTGAAGGGCTACAGTCAGAAGGATATAAATTAGATCGCTCTTTTTATCATATACTGATGAAAACATATAGAAGCTCTGGAAACCATTCTAAAGCTGAAAAGCTACTGGTCTTGATGAAAAAAGCAGGAGTGGAACCTACCATTGCTACAATGCATTTACTCATGGTATCTTACGGCAGCTCAGGAAATCCAGCTGAAGCTGAAAAAGTGCTTAATAATTTGAAATTAACAGGTGCAAGTCTTAGTACACTACCATATAGTTCAGTTATTGATGCTTATCTCAAGAATGGAGATTATAATATTGGAATTCAGAAGATCCAGGAGATGAAGAGAGAAGGTCTTGAGCCAGACCACAAAATATGGACTTGTTTTGTTAGGGCTGCAAGTTTGTCCCAGACCACGAGTGAAGTCATAATTCTCTTAAGTGCCTTAAAAGATGCTGGTTTTGATCTTCCAATCAGGTACCTTTTGGTTGTTGATTTTTATTATCCATATTTCTTCATTCTGATTTTCTTCTTTATCTTTCATCCGTTAAAAAGTAAAAAAGAGAACTATTGTGACATTTATTTTTTCAGGCTACTGACAGAGAAATCTGAATCACTAGTTTTGGACGTAGACCAGTATCTTGAGAAACTAGAACCTATAGAAGATAATGCAGCATTTAATTTTGTCAATGCTTTGGAAGACCTTTTGTGGGCATTTGAATTCCGAGCCACGGCTTCATGGGTTTTCCAACTTGCAATCAAGAGAAACATTTATCGCCATGATGTGTTTAGGTAACTACTGGATTCAGTTCTACTAATTATGTGCTCTGTTTGTTTTTCAAGCTTAATAATGAATTTATAAGAAGAGTTTTTGATTATTCTTGCAATATCCATGTGAAAAATGTGAAGGAATCTAAATGAACACTGATAAAATGATAAGAACTTTGTAGCATCCACAAGATGTAATCTTCTCAAGAGCAGGTAAATTATTACATTAGAAAATTGGAATCTAGTGAGCGATTTTTTTTAATGCAAATTGTTGGGAAAAAACCATAGTTGAAAGGTCCTGTGGGATGGGTTAGAGGAACCTTAATAATGGAATAACAAATTTATGATATCATAGATGTAATCTTGTGGTGATCCGGTGGCTCTTTCACAGATATTTGGATTTCATCTTATCGCTATTGTAAAAACTATTTCCCGAGAAATTATGTCAATGATCATAGTGGAAAGATCTGAAGGAGGACGAGGGACGTAGTCACGTACAGCTTATACAAGTGGACTGTATAAAATTATTAATATGTCCCGTGGATGTCTTTTTAGTGTCTTTTTATGTCATAGTAGTTTCCACATTGTCAAATTCATTGATTTTCTCATAATTCTTCTTTTCTTTTATTTCAGGGTAGCTGACAAGGACTGGGGGGCTGATTTTAGAAAGTTGTCTCCTGGTGCAGCTCTTGTTGGTCTTACTTTATGGCTTGATCACATGCAGGCAAAGTTTCTTTCTATCTTTAAGCTCTTTTAGATTTTCAGCTAGTCGAGAGAGGTAATTATGACTGCCTATTTCTTAGTGCTAGATGTGCTAAAAGAGAAGAAAAGGCCAGTAGCTCTAAAAACCTCTATTTTTTCCTATTAGGCTAATACTGAATAAGCTGTCTTCTTCTTCTTCTTCTTCCTTCTCTCTCTCTCTCTCTCTTTCTTTTTTGTCCCTAGAGCATATTCAAATAGAACTGTTTTATTGCACGATATTTATGGCTTGGCCAATGATTAAATCGTGTCTACTGGCTTGGCCTTTTGATATGATTGGTCACAATTTAATCCAAATACTATTTATGAACATGATATGAGCATCGCCATATCTACATCTTGCTCTTGATGTTTCTAACTTTCTTTAGATTTGAATTGAACGAGGAGTTTGTTTGATGCAGAATGGATGTACATAGAACTTAATCATAATGCTACTACTATTTAAGCAATGGTTGTGCCTCAATGAAATTTTAAGAGCGTCCTTAGTACTATTATTCTCCTTTTGCCCATAGTTATTTGCTAAGTACTATTTTTCATGCATCTGACTAAATACTTAAATTGCGGCAGGACGCATCATTGGAAGGTTTTCCGGAGTCTCCAAAATCAGTTGTACTGATTACTGGGACATCTGGATACAACAACGTTTCTTTGAACAGCACATTGAAGGCATACCTTTGGGAAATGGGGTCCCCATTTCTGCCCTGTAAAACACGGAGTGGGCTCCTTGTGGCAAAAGCTCACTCTCTTAGGATGTGGTTGAAGGACTCTCCATTCTGCTCAGACCTTGAATTGAAAAACAACACTACCCTCCCCAAGGTAAACTCAATGCAGCTCATTGAAGGATGTTACATTCGACGTGGCCTTGTTCCTGCTTTTAAAGACATAACTGAGAGGCTCGGGCAAGTAAAGCCTAAGAAATTTGCAAGGCTGGCCTTGCTATCAGATGAGAGAAGAGACAAAGCGATTCAAGCTGATATAGAGGGGAGCAAAGAGAAGTTGTTAAAGATGGAACAGGTTGGCCTTGCGAGGGATAAAAAGACCACAAAGTTCGGGAATAGAAAATTCATTAGGAGACCTTTGCAGTCAACATAAAAGCGATGCAAGTCAGAATTAGAGCTTTGAAATATAACCATCTTCTGGTTTATGAATTTTGGGTGTTTCCATTCAAATAGGCCGCGAATGACTTATGTGTTGCACCGCGTGAAGGAGAACTTCTAATCAGCAATACAATTAGAAGATCAAACAATTTTAGAGAGTTCTTAAAGGGCTCCAAACTGTTGTTCATGCTCCAACCAATTAGTGTCAGCGGGAGAGCTCTCTTGTGACCTGATTGTTCGTCCTCGGAAGCTTATGAAGAGTTGTGGGCTGCAATTGACAGGCTGCCTTCCTTCCCTATCTGTACAGTACATGGGCGGCAACTGTCATTACTGACTCCCCAAGCTACTACCTCGAATCATCCCTTTTGCTTTTCTCTCATCGGCCTCACTGCCCGCATAATTATGGTGGTTTTGTGGTGCTAGGGATGCTGAGATTGAAGACTTTTGGTGATTGATGTTGTTGAACAAGCATGCCTATTACACCAGCATGTATACACACCAGCAGCAAAACTGAAGTTCTTGTGGTTTCTGCAGTCAGCCTCAAAATTTGACACAGAACCAGTGCTTGAAGAGGAAACAATTGAAAATAGAATTTTTGTACCACCCTAAGCTCTCTGAGCTTTTTTTTTTTTTTTTTTTTTTTTTTTATAAAAAATGACTTTGAAATTTTATCATGTATATACAGGAAAAGGTTATAAGTAGTTATTTCTTATTTGATCTTAAAAATTAAATTTTATAAAATGTTAAAGTTTCAAATTATTACATTTATAAGTTAGTGAACACAGTATGACCCTGTTTATTAAACAAATCAGACGAGAATACTGTGCTATCCATTTAATAAGATGGTTATTTAGGCACTCGGGATTAATTATAGCGGAACAAATATACCAACTATAAAGATGAAAAAAAGTTTATGATGCATTTTTTGTCGAAAAATTGATTTTATATCCAAGAAAAATTATTTTCAGACCAGACATTAGCCTAACCGACATGCACGGGCGTGCGGGACTTACACATCAGTGTTGTGAATTGTTTTATACCGTCGGTTCTAACTGATACACACACGAGTGTGTAGGGCCAGCACTGCCCACGTGTGTATCATTGGCCGGGTGTTTTAGATCGTTGGTCGTAACCGAGGTGTGTGGGGCCAGCATTGCCCATGTGTGTACCATCGGCTAAGGCCGACTTGGCCTTAGTAACGAGAGATTATTGAATACCCCGGGGGTATGGTACCCGGGGCAGTGAGGGTCATTGAATTATGGATGTGGTGGTGGACCCTACCACATCCAAGGGTTGGTATTCCTTAGGGGTATGTACTCTTGGGTATTCAATAATTTTCCCTTAGTAACACAGCTCTATAGCCTCTATATCTAAATATTTGGGTTGACGATTTAATAGGATCATGGTTTGCCATATACACGACCCCTTTTTAAGTCCGATACATAATCTGTATCGGTCAGTTTACACTGAACCATGAATAGGATACCTCAAACTTGGGCCAACAGTGAACATACCCGGTCTAACCCAGCTTTAGACTCCATGTCCAAACAACAAATAAATGAGCTTAGTTGGGTTGGATATATATAATGGATCAAGTCTGGCCCAACATGAGTGAAATCATAAACCGGCCCAAATTACAGACTAGGGTTTTTCATTGCGTCCTCGTTCTTTATAAACCTAATAACGCCCTATTCCAGAGAGGAGAGAGAGAAGAGAGGAGAGGTTCTTCGCCAAGTCTGCTCAGCTTCGTAGTAAGTTTATGATTTAGATCTGTGCATTTTCATATAGTTTATCGTCTCTATTAAGTACAGAGTATATGTTTCAGGCTTTATTGATTTTTGTGAATGTAGTTTATCTGCTATATGTGTGTGTTGTAGAGTTTTTTTTTTTTCTTTTGTCAAAACTGTTGTGTTTGTTTCCTGAGAAATTTGGTGTAGAAAAGTATTGAAAACACAGCTCTTCTATTTATTACGTAGCTCTTTGCAACTATTTCGATAAGCTGAGACGATATTATAATTTCAAAGCCTTAATAAATTGTAATGATTTTTTTCCCTTTCATTTTCGCGGAAATCAAACGGCGGGTTGAACGATTAGGGTTTTAGATCGGTTAACTTAATCACTTCTCTGTAGCTTCTATTGAGTAGTTCTATTTATTATGTTTCGATTATTTAGTGATTTATATATTAATGCTGAGAAATGTGACTTAAGTTTGTCTATTATCTACAATGTGCTGTTTCGATTTCTGTAAAAGAGGATTTAATTTTTTTAACGTTTTTGTATCAACCAAATGGCTAGCGGAGTGCTTGTTGAGTTTTTTTTGATAGATAAATACACTCAACGCTAAACTCTCTCACACACGCACTATTGTCTTGTGAGGACTTGAACTCTCAATTCGCTCGTGGGAGGATAGGGACTAGGGAGCCAAATTTCCGGTTGTGGGTGCACCTTGATTAGTCTGAATTTGTCTACTTGTAGTTTGTTTATGTAGGTTTAGTATTTCCAACTTAGGAAATATACTTACTATTATTTTAGATTTGGTTTTTTCAGTAAACTTATTTCTAATTGTTCCTGTTTTGTTCTAATTTGATTGGATTTGTTTTGGCAAGGCCTATGGACTGGGTCAATGCATGATTGTCTGCTTATCCCCACGAAACTGCATGATTTTGGTTGTTCTATCGATTTCCTAGTGATAAAATCATTTTGTAACTGTTTTGGTTTATGGATTTTTCTTAAGTAAAGTAAATGAATTATTAGATCGAATGATTTTCATCTTCATTGCAGTTATCTTGCAATAAATGTAAATATGTGGTAGTGACTATGAATTGTGTGAATATGGAATTATTAACCTCCCGCGGTTTGAAAGAGCATGCCATTGATTCTGTCTGTCAGGTGCAGAAGGAATTATTATGAATGAATTGGGTTGATTTCTAACCATGTGTTTATTATTGCACATGGGCTTTTGTGTCAAAGTTCTATCCTCAATGCATGGTATGGCCAACAAAGTGCTGCATTTGTTCTGCTCTATAATATTATTACTTTCATCCAAACTATTTTTGTGATTATAACATATTTCATTGATTTATTTGCAATGTCTAAGCGTTAGTCCTATACTTTTGTGATCCTCCTTTGAAATGTGTGGTGTAAAAGCTGTCAATGTTAGTAGTCTTTTAGCTTGCTCCTTGATTCTGGTTAAATTGTCTTCATTGTTGTAGCTATGTAACTCCTTATTTGACTTTGTAGGTAAATTATGGTTAAGCATAACAATGTTGTGCCCAATGGGCATTTCAAGAAGCACTGGCAGAACTATGTGAAGACCTGGTTTAATCAACCAGCCCGGAAAGCCAGAAGACGTACTGGTAAGTAGTTCCCCCACCCTACACACACACACAAAAACCACCATATCTGCCATTCTAGTCTGTTTAGTAATTGTTTTTCATATCCATATACAGCTAGACAAAAGAAGGCTGTAAAGATTTTCCCTAGACCTACAGCTGGAGCACTTCGTCCCGTTGTTCATGGACAGACGTTGAAGTACAACATGAAAGTCAGGGCTGGGAGGGGATTTTCTCTCGAGGAGCTCAAGGTCAGTGTTTTTATATGATTACCTTTTCTGTTTACATCTTGGGAAGAATCAGGTGAGGAAGTTAATTAATAAGATTCTCCAGGATCCCATCTTGAGCATCTCACTCCCTCATTCTAAGTAAGATCCAAATGGTCCCTAGTGTTTCTGGGTTCTCTGACATGTAATATACTAATACCTGTGTTTGGAATGTGGATTTTAAGGAGCTTGCAAATTTTGACTTAGCTGGTCTGTATATGCTTCATTTCAGAGTGCTTGTGCTACAAGCATTTGTTTTTTTTGAACTTTGAATGATTAGGACAATGCTTGGGTCCTGCCCTAGCAGGACAGACTTCATTCTGCTGGTTGATGTGTCTCGAATATATGATAACACCTGTCTCAAATAAATAATATATTAAAAAACTTAAGATACGGATCAAAACCATTTCTAAATGGGGTCAAGTTAAAATCCATTGAGATTTCCTCTCATCAAATCTCCATCTTCATCTCTCATAATCGACACAAATAAGTAACAGAACAAAACTTATCTCCATCTCCCATACATACATACATGTATATATGTATATATACACCAGCAAATCACCATCTCCCATATACATATATACACATTTAAATATATGTATACACACTCCTGATGTTTGGAGGGGAAATCCAAGTTGGGTCATTTCAGTCACGAATTCATGATCGAACCGCATAGTGAGAGTTTAAGATGAAGTTTGTTGATGATGTATCTTGGATTTACCCTTTGAGCATCAGGCGTGTGTAATATATATTTAAGTACGTATATGTGTATGGGAGATGGTGATTTGCTGGTGTATGTAGTTTTATATGTATATATGTATGGGAGATGGAGATGATATTTGTGTGTATATATGTATGAGATGAAGATTTGATGCGAGAGGAAATCTCAAATGAATTTAAACTTGTACCCGATTTAAAAATGGGTTTGATCCGTATCCCAAGTTTTTATGCATTTAAGACAGGTGTCATTATACATTTGGGACACATAAACCAGCTGGATGAAGTTTGTCCCGCTGGGTCTGGACCCAAGTATTGTCTGAATTGATAGTGGTTCAATAATGATTTTAAACAGTATAGGTAAGGCATATTCAAATATTGTGTGTAGTTACTGATTCTTAATAATTGCTCCTTGGCAATCAGAGTTTGTTATATTTTGTTACATGGATGCATGTTTAAGTTTTGTAGAATTGGAGAGAGTAATAATTTCGGAGGCATAATGGCTGCAAAAATATCAGACCACCCCCTCCTCCTCGTTCAAAAACCACTTCCAATTAGTAATAATATTGTGTTCATCAATGAAGCCTTTTTTGCAACTATTTAGGGTTGTCTACATGAATCATTTTGTGTGCCATTATTGTTCCTTTGAATCTAAATTGTCTTTGAATAACAATAACATACATTCTTTCATACAAACCAGGCAGCAGGTGTTCCAAAAAAACTTGCCCCAACCATCGGTATTGCTGTTGACCATCGCCGTAGGAACCGTTCCCTGGAAAGTCTCCAGGCTAATGTTCAGAGGCTGAAGACATACAAGGCCAAGTTGGTTGTCTTCCCAAGACGTGCTCGCAAGTTCAAGGTACTGTTTCATCGTTGACCTTTCTGAACTCCAGTCGGATACTAGCTCTTCGTTTATGTCCTTGACATATTGTTATCGCAATTATTTTCTGCAGGCTGGTGATTCTGCTCCTGAGGAACTGGCTACAGCAACTCAAGTCCAAGGTCCTTACATGCCCATTGTGCGTGAGAAGCCATCTGTGGAACTTGTTAAGATCACAAACGAGATGAAGTCATTCAAGGCCTATGACAAGCTGCGTATGGAGAGGATGAACGCACGTCACGTCGGAGTCAGGATGAAGAAGGCTGCAGAGGCTGAGAAGGAAGAGAAGAAATAGTGAGTATGCGAGAATGGCATTTGGTTTTTTTGGGCCCGAGTCTAGATACTGGTTTTGTTTTGAATCGATAGCTGTAGCCTTTATGAATTCTCTAATTCACAGTTTTGGATCATCATCTGTTTGGAGTTTGTGTTCCTCCTATTCCAGATCGGTTGTTTCTATTGAATTTCATCACTTTTGGTATTGGGGTTATGTTTTTTTACCTATGCCTTGGTATCATTACCAGGTGAGTTGTAGCCCATTGAAATGTGGGAATTTTAGGTACATGTTCAAGTTCCCATTATTTGGTTTCTCTCTCATGATGGTATGTTTCTTTAGCAATGCCTTGATCTTCACTTAACCATTGTTAACCATAGATTTAAGCACCATGGAATAGAAGGGAGAAAAGTATAGTAGATGGCCTTTGAAGTGCATGGACTTAATGAGCTGAGCCTGTGATCAACTTGCATGAGCTCTTTTAGTGCTGTATCATGTCTACCTAGCCTGTAAACTGAGCAGAGCCAGAGTGGTGGCTGTTTGACTCGGATTGGTGTGCAGCACGGTGTTTGAGCTTGGCTCAAGCTCGAGCTGAGCTCTCACCTCAGTGTTCAAGCTTTTAATAAATTCAATCTGGAGTAAAAAAAAACTATGTATATTTGATCGGTTGATGATGATGATAAAGCAAATCATATATATATATATATATGTGTGTGTGTGTGTGTATGTATATGTGATCGGTTGATGATGATGATAAAGCAAATCATATATATATTTGTGTATGTATATGTATATGCCATCTTTATATAACATAAATCTGCTTATACATGCTTACCTGATCGTAGAACACCATGAAGGTACAAAATCCATGGTTTGGGCACCATTCTATATTCCACTAAAATGGATCATAAAATTAATGATTGTCGACTTGTATCAGTAATATTATTCGTCTTACTTGTATCAATAATATTATTCGTCTTAGTATCTCTTGATTAATAGTAATGAATTTTCAATAACCAAGGTGTGGTCTATCTCCTCTACCTCTTGGTGAGAATTCGAGTTGGGTGTATAGATGTATGGTGAGAATTTGGGTGTTTAAATTTCAGTAAAAGTGAAATGGACATTCCTCTCATGACACATAAACACATAAACGAATGACATCCTTCAAAACTTTTCTCTTTCAAATTCAACACAAGCCAGCTAGTGGGAATTCGCCAAAGGTCCAATAATAAAAGTTTTTCAACTCTGACAGCTTCCACACAAGAAGCTTCAGAAATTAGGTATTTTGAATTTAACGTTCAGGTAGGAATTCTCTAAACTTACTCATTATTGACGACATGTTTTTCTAATATATGAAATTATGTATTTTTTCACGGACGAAACAAAAGAAGCTATAAACCAAGAGCAAGAGCAACCCCAATCACAATATGTAGCCCCGTTGTTACTTGTTTCCATCAAATCCAACAGACATTCAACAATCTTGACTTGGGTTTGATTTAATAAATATATATAATATATAACTTGACCTAGGTGATTGGTCCACGTGACTAACTGCAACCTCCTCCACGTCACGTCCTGCAATCTCTATCTTCCTCTATCGTTTCGTAGCGTGCAGATAACGCATTATATCTCACACCACTTTCTCTCTATGCTTTACCAGAGGAATAAAGTTCAGTTTAGTTCTTTATGAATTTTCCAGAGAAACACAACCCTCATCAGCGAACATGGGATCACTGAGACACACTTTTGCAGAGAGGAGTAAAGAAAGGTTACTATCTAGAAAGGATTACTCTGAATTAGGGTTTGGAGGACCATACGGTGGTGACGATGAAGGTGTCAGATTCCGGTGGTTCCGTTCCCTCGGCGACAAATTCACCTATTTCTGGACGAATTCGAGAGAGACTGCAATCAAGGCGTATGAAATGGGTCGGTCTGATCCTCGCAAAGTCATATTCGCTGCCAAAATGGGGCTCTCACTCGCACTCGTTTCGGTGCTCATTTTCTTCAAAGAACCACTAGCTAACATGGGTCAATACTCAATTTGGGCAATTCTTACTGTCGTTGTGGTATTCGAATTCAGCATAGGTACATACCCATTAATTATTAATGCTCAATTCACCAATTTAGTTTATTGAAGTGCAAATAATACTGATCATTTTTTTTGGCTAATGTGATTCAGCATAGTTACCTACATACCCAGATAAAATTAATGCTTAAATCACAATGTTTTAGGTCTTTGAAGTGTAGACAATAATTTTTTCTGCTGTAAATTAGCATATGTACATACCCAAATGGGATTAATGCTCAAATCGCCATGTTTTAGGTCACTGAAGTGTAAATGACACTCATTGACATTTTTTATTTTTTATTTTTTATTTTTTTATTTTTTTTTGTGATTCAGTTTGTTGGAGTAATCAATTTGTTAATCATTAATGGTCAAAGGTTGGAGATAATTTGAATTCTTTGTGTTTTAATTGCTCAGTTTAAATTGTTTAGGAGCAACTCTTAACAAAGGATTCAACCGTGCTCTGGGCACAGTGTCTGCCGGAGCACTTGCTTTGGGCATTGGAGAGCTGTCTGAGTTAGCTGGAGAATGGGATGAAGTTTTTATTGTGATCAACGTATTTATTGCAGGTCTAAATTTAAGAAATTGATATCCTTGAATACTATCATTTATAAATTTTCCCCATCTTTTTTTCTTTCTTTTGCTTGAGAAAATTTTATTTTATATTTCTCTTTTCTTTTCTTCTAGGCTTCTTTGCGAGCTATTTGAAACTGCACCCGGCGATGAAGCAATATGAATATGGGTTTCGGGTGTTCTTGTTGACATATTGTATCGTATTGGTGTCCGGGACCTCAAATTTTGTTGAAACAGCTCTATCTCGATTGTTGCTGATTGCGGTTGGGGCTGGTATTTGTTTGGGTGTAAATATTTGTATTTATCCCATTTGGTCTGGTGAAGATTTGCATAAATTGGTGGTGAAGAATTTCAAGGGTGTTGCTACTTCCTTGGAAGGTTAGATTAAATATCTTTTGTAGCTTCAATTCTCATTGTCTTGTTTACTGCACAATTCTTATGTTATGCTCGGTTTGTTTGTGTTTGTATAGGCTGTGTTAATGGGTACCTGCAATGTGTTGAATACAAGAGAATCCCTTCTAAGATTCTTACTTACCAGGCTTCTGATGACCCAACGTATAGTGGATATAGATCTGCTGTAGAGTCTACAAGCCAAGAGGAAACTTTGGTATGCCTAACCTTTTTATTTTTTTTTTTAATTTTTCAAATGGCGCTTTATGTTATATTTGACACGGTCCGGTAACTTTGGTTTCGACTTGCTCTTGTTTGTGCAGTTAGGCTTTGCTGTCTGGGAACCACCTCATGGCCGGTATAAAGGGTTGCGTTATCCCTGGAGTCAGTATGTCAAAGTGAGTGGTGCACTGAGGCATTGTGCATTCATGGTCATGGCAATGCATGGGTGTATACTTTCAGAAATACAGGTGAAATATACCTCTCTCTCTGTGGACATTCCATAATAGAGTTTCACACAGTAGCATTTTCCTTTCTAAAATAACCTCAAGCCCCTATCAAAGTGTTTCATATCGTCTCACCTATCATTGGACAAAAATGGCATTGCCTCAAAATTTTTACTGTCCATTTCAGATGAGTTACCTTTGTTTCATAATCTTTGTTGTGGTGACTGAAAGAATTGTACATATAGGCTGGAACTTACCGAGTCCTTGTTTTCTGATCATTTAATACAGTACTTGGTAGCTTAATGTTATTAACTGTTAGGATGCAAGTTTACAAGATGGTAAAGGGCAGAGCAGTTAAAAAATAAAGATTTACAAGTTCAGGCGTCTCAAGTGTGTGTGTAACAACAGAATTGGAAGATTTGTGCATCAGTATATTGGCCTCTTTTGTTAGAAAACAACAATTTGAATCATTTTCTCCCATAAGTAATAATATGTTAAAGCTGTTTGTCATTTTTTTCCTCTCATAGTTCCCCATGAAAACATATCCTTGTTTCTTTCTAAATTTTCTGGAAGCTTTTTATTATCTCTCAAGCATTCACTTCATGCTCACATAGGTAAAAAGATAGCAACATAATACCATCTCTTTCACCTGCAAGCTGATATAACAATTATACACTTGCATGCATTAATTTGTCTTTTTGTGAAATTGTTATCAAAACATATGGATGTGTTGAAAATTCAATCTTTCATCTTCATCCTGTTCAAGTTAATTAAAAGAAATAGAAGAAAATTTCTGAAATATCCATTACTTTGTTGAGTGAATGATGGAACTGTTAACTACAAGTGAGAAGTGAGACAGGATTTGATCACTTTGATGTTTGTTTTATCGAGGATAGTTCTGATCTTGGGGAATGAATTTGGATCACAAATCAGAATATCCCTTCACCATCTTACATTCTAGAAAGAAATTGAGTTGTAATGGCTTCATGAGTGTTGTTTACTTTTTCTTTCCCCTTTTTTGATTTTTTTTTTTGTGCATTTTATTTATCTGACTCTGTTAACAGCAAACTCTGTGTAGTTTTAAATTTTCAAATGTTAACCTGAGTAAGTTTTTTTTTTTTTTTTTCATCATTCAATTAATTGTTATGACTTTGGATCTATATCCTAACCACCCCACTTTTTTTTTTTTTCGTGATTCTTTAGAAAAATAAATTTATATCTTGTTTTGGACAATTAGTCAATATATTTTACAACTCCATATATAGAATTTTGTATGTTCTTAACCAGAAATGATTTGTATTCTATGTAGAATTGTTATTTCAAATTTCTACTTGTACAATTGTTATTGGTCTTCATCTAAATTAATATATAGATATAATAGCATGCTGAATGCTCCATTACTTGTCTGGAAGGGAAAGACAAAAACATTTAATGAATAATGCAACAAAGATCTTGACAAGAAATAGCTGTATGATTCAAGTACATGTTCTTGTTCCCTGTCTTCTCAGGACTAAGGTTGTCTTTGGATCCTTTTAATATTTTCATTTATACATGCAAGAACTGTTTATATTAATCACAATTCTTAATAGAATTTCATTTGGTAACCACCAAACAAAAATCAAAATTTCCATAGGAAGGTAAATCCTTCTTGGCATGTTAAACAAAAGTTTTCGTAGGTTGCTAGTAGTATAAAGATCCTTTAAGATGGGTTTTGTCCCTTTATTTATTCTTGTTTTAGAAAGTCTTTAACTTGTTTAAGAAGAAGAGGTGAAACTGTTTTTGTTTTTTAAAAAATAAAAAAATACTAGGGCAATAGATGCTGCTACCTTTAAACCAGTTTCTGTATTTTTATGAATAAATATTAAAAAAGAACTTTTTTTAATCATATCGAAACATATCGAAAATGAAAGATTTGCACAATTTAAACTTCTGAAGTTTTATGGTTTACTTTTGCATGAATTGTTAACTTATAATCTTAGGTTGGATTTTTTTCTTTCTTGTAGGCATCACCTGAACTAAGACGGCGCTTTCAGAGTGAGATTCAGAGGGTTGGCACTGCAGGAGCCAAAGTGTTACGTGATCTTGGACACAAAGTAGAAAAGATGGAGAAATTAAGCACTGGAGATATGCTCATTGAAGTGCATGAGGCTGCAGAAGAGTTGCAATTGATGGTAGACCAAAATCCAGATCTTTTGGTTCCAAATTGGGGAAGGGGAAGAATGCAAAAGGAATACGAAGATCCTGATAACTATCAAGTGAATGACAATGAATATAGAAAAACAGTGATAAAATCTATTAGTGAATTAGCTCTTGACACAAGATCAGTTCCCACAGCGAGAAACTGGGATCCTCATAATCCAAACGTGAGCATCAGTCCATCCATTTTACAGTCTGGTTCCTCAGAAGCTGTGCTGACGAAACAGATATCATGGCCTTCTCGTCTCACAGTTCAAAATGATACCATTCTCAATGAACGCGAAGTAAGAACGTATGAAAGCGCAACTGCATTGTCGTTAACAACATTTACTTCCTTATTGATTGAGTTTGTTGCGAGGCTTCAAAATCTCGTGGACTCATTTGAAGATCTCAGTGAGAAGGCAAATTTTATTGATCCCATGGACCCACCTGCAGCAAAAGAGGTGGCCGGTGTTTGGACCAGATTGCTCAAGTGGATTTGCTTCAGGAGTTGAGTTCCTGTTTTCCACTGGCTCGGTATCAATCATTAGGTTGACTTCGATTCATGTGCTGTTGCTAACATCCTGAGGTTTTAGTAGAGTTAGTTTCAGTTTTTATGACCCAATTGAAACTGTTGTTGTTAGGCTGCAGGGAAGAATCTCTTCCTAGAGGTGATGGAAAGTTAAACTGAAAATTTTATAGTACAATACTCGATACACACTATGAAGTTGTCAACTTCTTCAGGGCAAGCTGGACCAGGAATTTCTCACTTCTGGTGATTGCAGAGCATGCACGGCAAATTTTGGTGGGATCAGAAAAAGAAAACAAAAAACAGAAGAAAGATAGTAGGGAAGAAATGATATAGACAGGGACTAACCTATAACATTTCTTGAATATGTTTGTATATTTTTTCAGTTGTAGTAGCAGGATTAGGGATGGCAAAGTAGATCGCTCTGTTTAAAATGGTTTTGGTAGTCTGTTTAACCGTTTAATGTTTAATGATTTTGGACGGAGATGGTTTTTACACTGAAAACAAGTGTGGGTGCAGGGTGGAGTAGGGGAAGATCACCCCGCCCTGTTTATAACGAGGAAATACTATTTTGCTCTTATACCTTATGTAATATAAAAAATCACCCTTATTGTTAGAAAAATGTTAATGTTTATTTGGTTAATTTGGTACAATTGTGTAAATTTTGAATTTTGAATTCTGAATTTTGAATTTTTATTTTTATTTGGTTTATATTCCTTTAGAATGTGGATGATTTGAATTGGATACAGTGGTGAGGCATCATGATTTAAGGCATCATCTCAAGTTTCACATAACTGGGCGGATCCTCTATATTTAGCTTTAGCTGTAGTTCATACTACTGTATGCCATGGTTATAACTGTAGTTGATACTACAGTACTGTGTGCTGAAGAACATACAGATCTAAAAAAATAAAATCATATTTTGCATGATAACTGTTGATGCTCTTGGTGGTGATTGAAACTAATTCATTCGACATGTATTTGTGTGTATATATGTAATATCCCGTCCACATTGTCCTTTGGTGACTTTATTTGTGTCTTTTGTTCTTGGGTGATTTGACTTGAGTTTTTTAAAACTTTTTTACTGTACTTTGAAAGCTGTTTTTTGGTATTTTAAAAGGTGAGAAAATATATTGGGCTACAAATATGCACTTTGGGACCAATTTTTCACCCTCGAGTTCTGAGCTAACTTGCAGTTTTAGGGACACAATGTGGTGCTGCCATTGGACTGTCATACAGCCTTGTTCAACAATTTTAAACTTATGTTTTATCTCTCTCTCTCTCTAAATTGAAAGTGAACTAACTGCATTTGAACTTAGGGAAATATATTCACTTGATAAGGATCTGATAGAACCCATTAGGCATTTGTTTTTCTGGTCTTGATTAGGGGAAGTGGAAATTCATATTGAGATTTGTGATGTTGTAGGGCGACCTGTTAGAGGAAAATTGTTGACCCGCTTTTTTTTTTTTTTTTGTACCCTCTTGTAGCCCGATATATGAGCTTAGGGTCTAGAGTGGGATTCTGGAGAGAATCTGAAAATCGCAAAAAAGAGAGTGAGAGCGAAAGTTAGGGTTTGGGGGCTGAAACTTGTAAATATTTCATGCTAATTTTTTTGTGTGGTGTGTGTTTATTTTCTGTTGTGTTTCTGATTATTTCTTGTGTTCGCTGCGTTTGTCGTAACAAGATTGAATTTTGTTGTGCTTTGTTTTAAGGCAAATTCGGCCGAAATGAGTTCGAAACTGGCTAAGCTTGGGCTCACGGCTGTTCTTGCTTATGTGTTGTTTGACGGTATCACTTACACAACTTTCTTTGTACTTGCATTTCTTGGCTATGAGAAAAGTACTGGAAACAATCCTGCTGCCAATCTCCAAGCTCTGTTAGGGGTAAGAAACGCTTCACTTTGTCATGAATCTCAACTGTTTTAAAGAGTTGATTTGTGTATCTTAATTCGGAGTTGATGCTATGCTCAAATTCTACACAAAATGTTCAAATTAAATGCCTTTGATCCACATTTTAGTACTCTCTGTCTCTCTCTCTTACAGTACATATATAATCCCGGATTTGGTAGGATTATACGTATAATTGTGGGAAATTGGAAGATTGCAATGAATGGTGAGGTGAATTTGCATGTTTAAAGGGCTAGTCCAGTGTACGTGAATCCTGCCATTGTAGGGTCTGGGAGAGTCAGATGAATGCAACCTTACTTTTGCACGGAGAGACTGTTTTTGATTTTTTTACCCGTGATCTCCAGGTGAATTTGCATGTTTATCGGTCTCAAATGCATTTTATCCTGATATTGATCCATGGTTTGGATGGCTTCACCCCAATTGTGGAATGTGTTGTTTTTATTTATATTTATATTTATTTTTTTCTGTTTTTAACTTGGCACAAAATCTGTGTGTGCGTGTGTGTGGGTGTGGGTTGCAACTCAAGTGGCATAAGCCCTATCTTGGTTAATACTTTTGTTCTAATTTCTTTGTGCTTCGTCCCTCACAACAGAAATTAGAACAAGAGATGCATAGTGGCTGCATTGTGTTCTACAGTTGTTAGTCTCAATCGGAGACTCTCAGCATATTCTTTCTCCCAATGTTATTCATGTATGCTTCAATGTCATTGATGCTCCCTCCAGCTTATTTAATTGAATTATTCACTCATTTCTCTTAAGTTTTGGTCCAATAATGCATTATTAAAATAATTCCGTATTTTGGATTGAGGCAAAGAACCAGGATCCTGTCTTGTGTCATTTTCGTCCCATGTCTGTCTTGGGCCTAATACGATAACTTTATATTGTGAATGCAACAAGTTTAAATCAACAATACCATGATCACAAAAATGTGTTAAATTGTCGATTTAATGGTATTATAACGTTCCAACACGATGTAATATGTTGTATGAGTATTGTATCTTCAATACAATTAAATAAATGTGTTGCGCGTAACTTTTTAAAAGTTGTTGCATAGCTGTGGGATCCCCTAAACCGGAGGGGTTCCGGGTTCTTGCGGCAAATCTTCGAAGTGGAAGATGGTAATTCTGAAACCATGTAAGAAAATTAGTGCTGTAATTCCACCTTCCATGTAAAATATTAAAAGAAGCCCGAAACTGCATTTTCCAACAACCCAACATAATAAATTCTTCATTGCTCCAGATTTTCCTAATGAAGTAATCTGTTTCAATAAAAGCGTTGTCCTTTTGATGATTAAATAAATGAATAAAAAAAATGCACTTTCTCAAAAATTTGTTGTCTTCTTTTTTATGCTTTTAGATGAAAGGCACAGGGTAGGATTGTGAGAGTTGAGAGCACATATATTTTGATTAATCCATATTAACAAAAAAGAAAAAGAAAAAGGGGGGGGGGGGGGGGGGGGGGGGGGGGGGGGAAGTAAATATTTGATTTATTATTCATTCAAAAATTGTATATAAACCAATTAGTAAATATTATTTTCCCAAGTGGGAGAGTAATTTGGATAGATATGGAAGGAAAGTAAACATGTAATTAAACTAATTAGTGTGTATATATATATATATATATGTATGTATGTATTAATTTTTAAAATTAATAATGGATGTGAGATGGTGTAACAAGGGGGAGCATGTCCCACATCAGATCGGGTGTTAGCCCTATCTAACGGTCTAAGTTTTTGGGTTGCACGTGTCATGCCCAATACCTCACATATAAAATACACAACAATTTTACTCTTGTTGGAGAACTATATAACCTCACTACATTGATTTTCAGAGTTCGCATAATTAATAAATTAAGGACAAAATTATACAAACAGCAGCTTATTTAAATAGCTACATACAACAGGAGTACTCAGCCACCACGACTTTCTCTGTATACTCCGGCACAACTTTTCTGCTTTTTGAATTTGTCATCAGGACTACCATGCCCTTTGCAGCTTTCAAATTTCCTAGATTTGTCATCAATTCAGTATTCACGAACCCCATCTACTTCTCCCCACGATCCGCTGGTTTCAAGTTTGACGGGCATGCCAAGTCCTTCATAGCCCCCGAGATCTATGAGTTGCACACGCCCCAAGCTTCTTGCTGCGCCGGCTAAGTTATCTGGATCATCATGACCTGGGTTCAGTTTCCAAGTTTAAATGGCATGGCAAGTCATCCCAACCCGAACACTCCATTTCCACACATCCCATTCTCTCCTCTCCTGCTGGTTTGCCAATTTGATTTTGTTATCTGAGACGTCACGACTCTTGAACCCGTCTCCTCTTTCCACGTCTCTTTTTTGTAGGTTCAGCATCAATATAGCTTTCATCGCCTCCATTTACTTCCCTCACACAATCTATAGGTTTCAAGTTTGTGTGGAATGCCAAATCATCCAGACCTGCGTGGTCCAGAACTACTGCAAATCCGATGTTTTCTTGCTGCTTTGATGCTTCAATTTTGTTCTCTGGGCCATCCTGACCTTTTCTCTGCTGCTTCTTTCTAGGCTTCTTTTTTCTAGGTTCTCCATTAATGTAGTTTCCACTCTCTCCTTTTACTTTCCGCACATAATCTGTTGATTTTAGTTTGGCTGGGATGCCAAGTCATCCACACCTGCACGGTCCACGGGAACATCCATGCATTCTTGCTGCTTTGCTGCTTTGATTTCATTATCTGGTCCACCATCAATGTAGCTTTCACCACCTCCATTAACTTCTCTCACACAGTCTGTTGGTTCCAAGTTTGTGTGGCATGTCAAGTCATCCAGACCTGCTCGGTCCAGAACTACTGCAAATCCCATGTCTTCTTGCCGCTTTGATGCTTCGATTTTGTTCTCTGGGCCATCCTGGCCTTTTTTCCGTTTCTTCTTTATAGGCTTCTTTTTTCTAGGTTCTCCATTTATTTTGCTTTCACTATCTCCTTTTACTTCCCCCACATAATCTGTTGATTTTAAGTTTGACTGGCATGCCAACTTATCCACACCTGCACAGTCCACGACTTCCATGCATTCTTGCTGCCTTGTTGCTTTGATTTCATTATCTGGTCCATCATGGCCTCCACTCCATTTCCTCTTTTTGGGTGTTATTCTTCAACATTCCCCATAAATGTAATGTTCACTACCTCCATTTACTTCCTTCACACAATCTGTTCGTTTCAAGTTTGACTGGCATGCCAAGTCATCCACAACTATATGGTCCTCAATTTTCATATTCCCCATTCTTTCTTGTCGGTTTGGAATATAATACTTGGAGACAAGCTCGTGAGCCGCTCTTGCTAGACAAGGACCTGAGACAGACTTGCGGATTGGTCTGGAAATGGTTCACCAAGAATATAACACATGAGATCACACGGACTCACTTATATAAAATAAATCAAGTACCATAAACTTGTACCTAGCCAAACTTAAAGTCAAGCTACAATATTTTAGAATTCCTACGAGCTTCATTTCAGCCCAGGTCAGGCGAACATAATGCGATACTATTTCCCTCTTAGTTCTAGCTATGTTGTGACTTTCAAAATGATTTCAGGTATTGAACAAACATTGTCTCCCAAATATCCAGATGGTTCATACAAGGTTAATGGCTGATGAAGGGTTCGTTTGCTCAATTGGCTGGGGCGCTCATTTAATAAACTTGAGAGCATGTGTTCAATTCTCCAAGACAACTAATTTTTTCACTTATATATATAAAAAAATAAAAAATAAAAAATAAAATTGAAAAAAACTAGGGGCCGATAAGCCTGAGAATGGAGGTTATCTGAGGCTTGAAGGTA